CACTGCACTCCAGTCTGGGCGACAGAGTGAGACTCCAACTCAAAAAAAAAAAAACAGAGGCCTCCCCTATGTGCCCTCCCAGCTCTGTAGGCTGGGTAGTCCTCAATAACCCCCTGCCCAGATCTGAAGCTAAGAGCAAGGGCTTCGAAATCAGACAGATTGGGGTCCCTACCCTGTACAGATATAGAGACGGAGGTTTCAAGAAGAGCCAGGCTGGCCAAGGCCTCCAGCAGGAAGCCAGGAATCCAGGCTGCAGAGCCTAGATTCATATCCAGCCTGTCCCACTGCTGAGCCACCCCTCTAGGCCTTGCCTGAGGTGAGTCAGATGCGAAATGGCCTTGGGCCTCAAACCCAGGCCTGACTTCCCACAGCCACTTCATCCCAGCCTGAGGGACTGATTCATTTCTCGCTTCCCTCGCTTTGAGGGGAAGCCCAGGCTGCCAGTCATCCTCCTCTGCTGAGCTATCTTTGGATTTCCCTAAAAGTCCACAGCCGGCCTCGCCCCTCAGTCCCGAGAGCTAAATCGGGCCTCCACCACCCACTGCCACTTACTGCCCTTCCTCTGGATGCTGCCCACCTGGGAGCAAAGGCGAGGGCTCGAGAAGGAGCTGACTGGACCTCCAGCTGTCTCTGCCCCTTCCCTAGCCCCTTCCCTGCAGGCAGTCCTCCTAGCGGCCGACCAGACTGGCTCTCTGCTTCTTTGCCCCACTCCCCTCTAGCTGGCCAACTCCTTCCGACTCCTTGGCCTCGGCTTAGCTGTCCCCTTCTCCAGGCGGCCCTCTCTGAAGTTCCCCTAGCCCCATAAACCTGTCCTTATCACAATGATAATATTTACTGGGTCAAGCAGTTCGCATATTTACCACTAAGCCCTTCATAGAAGTGACCTTACCCAAGAAGGCCAAGTGGGCACTACTGGGCCCGTTTGATAGATGGGGGACCCAGGCAGCCTGGCTCCCGCCCCAGCCCCTACCCGGCTGGCCCATGCAGACACACTGAGATCATCACGCTGCATTTTCATTTTTGTTCGCGATGTCTTCCACACCAAGGGCCTGGCATAAGTGGGGCCTCCGTGGATGACACTGAATGAACACACTGAAAGCCTGGGGTGGCCTGAGGTGCTCACCTTCTACCACACGCTGGTTTCAGCTGAGACAAGATTGGAACCGGTTAGAAGGGGCTTCTGAGAAAGACACTAGAACACACAAGAGGTCCTGTGTTCTGAATTACCTGGTCTGCCCCAGCCTGCTTGCCCCCATTCTCCTCTGGGGGGCTCAGGTTCCCACCCGCCTTCCAGTAGTTTTTGCACCCCGCTCCCTGTCACCGGATTCACACTTCCTGAAGGCCCCGAGCCAGAAGCTGGGCTGCAGATACAGACCAGAGGGTTCTGTCTGCCAGAGGCCCAGGCTCACAGTAACCTTGGCTACTTCCGTCTCCTATTTCTATCCTGCCTCCACTCCCACAGAGGACTGAGTGGAGAAAAGGAGGTCCAGAGAGGGGCAGAGGCTTGCCCAGGGTCACACAGCCATTCATGAGCCTGTCCCCTTCATGCATTCCCACACTGCCTTGAGGACCTTTCCAACATCCAGACCTGACCAGGCCTTTCCCATGCTCAAAACATGTCCATGGCTCCCACTGCCCTCCTGTTAAAGTCTAGCTCTGAGGCCCAGTTTTTTTTTTTCCCCAGTAATTGATATATATTTTGTATAGACACATTAAATGTAATCTCAATTTTTTTACACATACATTCATCTGATAGCCACCACTCAGATTAAGCTAGAAGTGTCCAGCACCCTAAAAGCTCTTAAGTCTCTCTCAGCCAACACCCCCTCCATCCCTGTAACCACCATCCTGACCTCTATCTTTGTTCCTTTTGTCCAACTGTGAACTTTTGGAGGAACCCTGCTGCACACCCTTGAGCTCTGCATGGATGGCTGTGGTATTCGGCCACATGGCTCGTCCTTCTCAGTGCAGAGTAGTGTTCCATGTGTCAGCAGGCTCACAAGCCTCACCGTAGGGACTCTTCAAGATCTAGCCCCATCCCTCGCCTCTGGCCTCTCCCTCCCCTTTTTGCTCTGGCCATCTGGGTCCTCTTCCTTTTCCCAGACTTCCCATCATAACTGCCCACTGCTCTCCCTTCCCTCCTGCTCCATCCACTTAGATCAGGCATCACCAATATTTGTCTGTTTATTTATTTTTGGGTCGGAGTCTCACTGCCAGACTGCAGTGGCATGTTCATGACTCACCATAGCTTCAACCTGTGATCCTTCTGCCTTAGCCTTCCAAGTACCTGGGACTACAGGTGCATGCCACCATGCCTAGCTAATTTTTTTTTTTTTTTTTTTTTTTTTTGCAGAGACAAGGCCTTGCCGTGTTGTCCAGTCTTGGCTTGAACTCCCGGCCTCAGGCAATCCTCTCACCTCAGTCTCCCAAAGTGTTGGGATTACAGACCTAAGCCACTACACCTGGCTTCTGGTTCTTTATCATGGTCCGTAAAGGAAATCATATCATCAACATCATCAGACTGGCAGTCAAGAGACCTGCTGAGTTTTTATACTTTGTGGAATTACTGCTATCATGTAAAAACCAGGAGTGCTTTGTACAGTTTGAAGGGGCACAGAACATCCCACTATAACTTTCAGAATGATTTTAAATTCTCCACTATTCTTTTTTTTTTTTGAGTTGAAGTCTCACTTTGTTGCCCAGACTGGAGTGCAGTGGCCACTCATGGCCACCACAGCCTCGACCTGCTGGGCTCCGGCAATCCTTCCGCCTCAGTCTTCCAAGTAGCTGGAACTACAGGCGCGCACTACCACACCCGACTAATTTTTTGATTTATTGTAGACATGAGGTCTCACCAAGTTGCCCAGGTGGGTCTCGAACCCACGGACTCAGGCAATTCATTCACCTCGGCCTCCCAAAGCGCAGGATTACCGACTGAGCCACCGAGCCTGGGCCTTCACTATTCTTTTTTTCTTTTCTTTTTTTTTTGAGTTGGAGTCTCACTCTGTCGCCCAGACTAGAGTGCAGT